GCGTATTTTGGGGGGGCTCTTTTTTCCTCCAGCGCAGTTCGAACAAAATGGCCTGCGCTTATGCTCCGAACTGACGGCGTCCGAATCACTCAAGATCCCGAACAAAATCTGGGAGCTGCTTTTCTGTTTCCCGGGGGCGCCTTGGCAACCTCCTAGGACGTGCCCTGACCCGCAGCAGCCCCAGGCGCCGTCAAGCCCTGGGCCACGGACTCTCGGGCCTCGTGCACGATAAACACATATACACATACACGCACGTAATTATCCAGGTGGAGGACACAAACATATGCAGTTGTGGGTACTGCAGTTGTGATTACTTCCTTCGGTAGAATTCCCTAGCCGCATGCGAACGCAGCCACTAGGGCCTTCCGTGGAGCTCCCCATGGGGCCACGAAACGCGCAACTGGTGTGCCGGGATTTGGGTGGAACTGCGTGCGAACACTGTCACTGGGGCCTTCGGTGGAGCTCCTTATGGGGCCACGGAACGCGTGAGGGGTGTGCCGAAATGAGGGGCGGAACCGGATGCGAATGCAACCACTGGGGCCCTCGGTGGAGCGCCCTATGGGGCCACGAAACATGCGAGGGGTGTGCCGAAATGGCGGGTGGAACCGCATGCGACCGCGGCTACTGGGGCCTGCGGTGGAGCTATGGGGTCACGAAGCGTGCGAAGGGAGTTCCGACATGGGTGGTGGAACCGCATGCGAACGCAGCCGCTGAGGCCTTTGGTGGAGTTCCATATGGGGCCACGGAACGTGTGAGGGGTGTGCCGATATGGGGGGTGGAACCGCATGCAAACGCCGCCACTGGGGCCTTAGGTGGAGCTTCCTATGCTATGGGGCCACGAAGCGTGTGAGGGGTGCGCCGAAATGAGGGGTACAACTGCATGCGAACGCAGCCACTGGGGCCTTCGGTGGAGCTCTCGATGGAATCACGGAACGTGTGAGGGATGTGCCGAAATGGGGGGTGGAACCGCAAGCGAACACAGCCACTGGGGCCTTCGGTGGAGCTCCCTATCATGACAACACAACGTGTGAAGGGTGTGCCGAAATGGGGGGTGGAACCGCATGCGAACGCAGCCAATGGGGCCTTTGGTGGAGCTCCCTACAAGGTCACGGCACGTGTGAGGAGTGTACCGAAATTGCGGTGGAACCGCAAGCGAACGCAGGCACTGGGGCCCTCGGTGGAGCTCCTTATGGAGTCACAAAACGTGCGGGGTGTGCCGAAATTTGGGCTGGGAGGATGGAGGAGCGAGAGAAGGAGGGGGAAGGAGGAGGAGCAGAGGAGGAGAGGAGAGGAGACCCGGGGCACTGTGTCGTCAAAGCGAGGACCCAACGTTACAACAGAGTTGGGAACAAACAGACAAAATATTAGCCTGGCGAAGGGCCCAACCTGAGCAGTTGTGGGTACCGTCCTTGTGAGTACTGTGGTCAGTGTATCTTCTTATGGGGCCACGAAGCGCGTGAAGGCTGTGCCAAAGAGGGGGCGGGCCCGCCATGCGGGTGCTGCCACCGGGGCCGTAGGTTGAGCTCCGTTAGGGGCCACGACTCGTGTGAGGGGTTCGCCGAAAGGGAGTGGAACCGCATGCATGCTCTGCCACTGGTGTCTTCTGTGGAGTTCCCTATGGATGCTGCCACGGAACGTGTGAGGGAAGCACCGGCACTGAGCCTGAAATTGCATGCAAAATCTGCCATTGGGGCCTTAGGTGGAGCTCCCTTTGGGGCCACGAGACGTGTGAGGGGTGTGCCGAAATGGGGGGTGGAACCAGATGCGAATGCAGCCACTGGGGCCTTCGGTGGCGCTCCCAACGGGGCCACGAAACGTGTGAGAGGTGTGCCGACAGGGAGGGTGGAACCGCCATGCGGACGCAGGCACTGGGGCTTTAGGTGGAGGTCCCTCTGGGGCCACGAAGCGTGTGAGGGTGTACCGAACGGGAGGGTGGAACTGCATGTGGGCGCTGATACTCGCATCCGTGGGACTGTATTCGTGGGAGCTGTCTGTTCGCAACTCGAATCCTTATTAGATCAGACGACGCCCAAGACAAGTGACGCACAGTTTTTGTTCGATGCGCGGTCCTACGAAGTCCCGACCCTCTCCCAAAGGCAAGCTTTTCATCCCGATTTTTGCTTCAATGGTCCAGGGACCCGGCGAGGGTCCCCAGAGTCCGAAAACTGCCAAAACCTCCCGTCCTGATTTTCCCCCGACCCGAGCACTGTGTGCACATCGAACCCCGCCAGAGGAACATCAAACAACATAGCAATGATTCTCACTCGAGCGATCCCCGCGAATCAGGGCTGGATGCGGCTTGGGCATTGTCGTAACGAGTGCAATCTCTGATGGGGTAAACGTGGGGGCTTGCTATGTAGTCGTGGGGTGCTGATATCACTATTCGCATATACTGACATTCGTATGTATGCAGCACCTGATCTTCTGCAGGGCTCGGATGTTGTACTTAGGTCCTTCATGGCGCGGTCCGCATTGCCGCTGACTTCAATACTCGCTGGTTTAACAAAAGTCTCCGAAGTCTAGTGGTCTGCCTCGCCTGCCCAAGAATCGCAGAAAGAGATTCACCCCTCCTCTTCCCTCCGCATCTCCCTGCACCTCCCTCGTCCTCTCTTCTCCTTCTCCTCCCCGTCCTCGACCTCCTCCTCCTCCTCCTCATCCTCTGGAGGGTCTTCGTGGCTGTACTCCTGTTCCAACGTGAGCGGTACTTCCCTTGGACAAAATTCGCGCCGGGCGCGCCCGCCCCTGTTCCCCACGGCCGGACACAAAAACAGCACAGTAGTATTTTGGGGATTCGGCTGCACGCAATCAGAAGCTTGCTCAAAACAGCGACTGCCCTCCTGTCGGGCTGCACGCGACCGGTCGACGGCCAACCGGCTGCTAGCATTCCACCGCGCATCTCCTGGACGGGGAGTGGCGAACGCATCGGCCGAACCCTTTTTTCGTTGACGCTTGCTCGCCGACGGCAACCCTGCTGCCAATCCAGCAGACCCGAACTCCCGTAAGTCACGATGTTCCCTGACGTTCGTTATGTTTAATGCTGTGCGATGTCTCGAGTTGTGTGTTTCATGCTTCAGTGTTTTAGTTTTGCAGTCGTTGACCCTACATTTCCTCATAAACAACGCATGGCAAGACCTTGGCAAGATCTGGTATGATAGCACATGCCAAACCTTGGTAACCCTTGGCAGGCCTTCCGCAGCGTCGGGGGCTGTCAAGGCTTACGGCTGTTATCACAGGTTGCACACTGACCGATTGGGTCTCCAAATTAACGTTCGTTTGGACGTGAATATCCTACGATGGACACCACAAGGCACCCCACGCGCGCGGAGTTCTGCAGTGTGCACAATCGGCTAGTCGCCATGTTGGTATGGGAACTGATGTGAACGCTTAGCGGTGGCCGACAAGATTTCGGGCCGCACGGTGGGCGGGTCACCCGCCGCGCGTGCGCGAGCTCATGGCGACTTCTGTATGGTCCACAATCGGAAAAAGCGCCACGCTGGCCTGGAAACTAAAGTGAACTTTTGACGGTGACGGAAATGATGTTGAAATGAACATGGGTGTTGGTGTACCGTTTCATGCATGATCCACACAGAAATCCCCTTCCCGTTCGTGGTGCCACATGCCAGCGAAGCCACTGGGGCCCTCGGTGGGACTCCCAGTGGTGCCACGACACGTGTGAGGGGTGTGGCGGCATGGGCGCGGTGGCGCCATACGATCGCAGCCACAGGGGGCACTCCGTCGAGCTGCCCATGGGGCCACGAAGCGTGCGGGGTGTGCGGAAGTGGGCGCCGTGGTGCCATGCGAGCGCAGCCGCTGGGGCCCCCTGTAGGACCATGAAGCGTGTGAGGGGTGTGGTGAAATGGGTGCCGTGATGCCATGCGAGCGCAGCCACTGGGGTCTTGGGTGGAGCTCCCTATGTGGCCGCGAAACGTGTGAGGGGTGTGCCGAAATCCTTGTGGTGGTGCCGTGCGACCGCGGCCACTGGTGCCCTCGGTGGACCTCCCTGAAGAGCCACGAAGCGTGTGAGAGGTGTGCCGAAACAGAAACATGCGGGTGACAGAGGCAAGGATGGGACGAGGGAGGAGTGGGAGGATGCGGGGTGCTGTCTCTTCAAAACGACGACCCAACACCACAGAATGGTTGGGAAAAGGGGGCTGGCTGGTCGTGAGGTCGGCGGGGCCCCTTTTCCCGACACTCCCTTGGTTGAGTTCTCGTTTTGGATAGAGCAGTGGGGTCTCCACCTTCTCATGCTCCTCCTGCTCCTCGCCCCCTCCGCTCTCCTCTCGGCGCCCTCCTCTGGCAGCTCTCTTGGGGGCTGCGAAATGTGAAACTGTCGCCACGTTCGAGGGCCGATGGGGGAGCCCGCACCATGGGGCCGCACGCGAACCCAAACGGCACCTCACCATCCCTGGGGGGCTCTCCCCAGGGCTGCAGGGGGAGCCCGCACAGTGGGGCCCCACGCGGACCCAAGCGGGACCTCGCCATCCCTGGGGGGCTGCGACAGAGCGAAGCCACCGCCACGCTCGAGGGCTGCAAGGGGCCTCTTGGGGCCTCTGGGGGCCCTCTTTTGGGGCCCGCTGGTGGTCTGAGGGGCTCTCTCAGGCAGTCTTGAAGCCCGCGATTTTTAACCGAATCATGCCAGTCTTCACTGCCCTGCGAGGTTCAAGTCGCGGACAAAAAGCAGTGCAGTGCAGTGCAGGGTTCTGCGGGAGTCGAGCTGTACCCTGCAGATGAGGACGCGCAAAGCGGACAGAGACTGAACTCTCGCGAGTAGGTCTTGCCGCAAGCGGGCCCCCGAGCATTGAATCAAACACCGTAGGTGGGTGGCAGTGAACGGAGTGAAGGGGGAGATATGGAGCACGAGGAGGAGGAGGACGCTGCCGACGACTATCAAAGTTTGCCGCTGAATTGACGGCGGCACTGAACCATAGAATTACACCAATAATATTTTACCAGCCTGCAGGATTCACGTGCGCCACCCGCGCGCAAAGCGAAAACCAGACCTGTACAGAGCCCATGCCTGCGGGACGTGCGCTAACTCGCTGCTGCAGCCGTCGCTGCTTCGGGAATCTTCTAGGATCTTCGGGGATCTTCTGACCCGGGTCGATCCAGACCCGGGTCAGCAGGAAACCAAAAACTGCAATGCAAAAACAAAAAAAACTGCAACGCAGGTATTCGCAAACCCGGGTCAGCCAATACGCGCGGCCGCCTCGCGGCCACGAGCGGCTCGCTAACCCGGGTCAGCCAGAGCGGGTCTTCGCAGAATCCTGCAGAATCTGGCGCTCTGGCTGACCCCCGTTTGCACTGACCCCCGTCTCTTAGGCCCCGACTACTGGCGCGTGAGCGCAAGCTCCGGCCACATGCCGCCGACTAAATGACGGCGGCGCCGATGCCTGCACAGACAGAGCTACACAGGCCACACCACGACAGGGCCTGCCCCCATGGCCAGGCCAGGAGAGTATGCCCACGACGTGTCGGCGAAAGGGCCGCCCGAGGAGCCAGAGTCACGGAGCTCAGAGCCTGAACTCCCCTGCCGCTGAATTGACGGTGACATTTAAACATGAACTGGCAATTGCACCAAACATATTTTACCAGCCTGCAGGATTCACGTGCGCCACCCGCGCGCAAAGCGAAAACCAGACCTGTACAGAGCCCATGCCTGCGGGACGTGCGCTAACTCGCTGCTACAGCCGTCGCTGCTTGACTCTGCATTGCGCCTACTCGCGTGTGAGCTTACGCCCCGCGGACTCCCCGCCCACGAGGGGCAGATTGGCGAAGGGCTGTCTGCAGAGGTTCTTGAAAACCAGCCCGCAGAGGCGGCGCTCCAGCATGGTGACGGTGCGGTTCTGCTCGGCGCGCACCAGCCTCCGGACGCGGATGGTAATCTGCGCCTGCCGCCGGCGCATGGCCCGGGTTTCCCAGCCGACGTCGCTGAACTCTGCCAGCATCATGTCGGAGGTGCCGTCGACGCGGACCCTCGCCATCGGGGAAGGGGTACGGTCCTGCCGCTCTCGGCCGCGTGCCATGCGGTGTCGGCCTTGGTCCTGCACCTCCTCTGACGTACCCGAGCCTTGGTCCTCCGCCTTCTCCTTCTCATCCACCAGCTCTGCCCCGTTGATGGCGTGGATCTCGGGATCAGCGCCCACCAAACCCGTGTCGATGCCCACCCGAGCTGGAGGTTGGAATTCCTTTCCGCACATGTTTGTCACTGCCTGGTTCGCCGCCGCAGCCGTGAAGAAACACTTTTGGACGGGGATACCGTAGGTCTGAGCCCTAATGGCTTGAGCCAAACCCGCTAAGGAGGCAGTATTGAAGCCCTCTTGGGGCCTTCTTCTGGCCGTCTTGGGCGCCTCTTGGGCCGTCTTGGGGCTCTCTGGGGCCGTCTTCGGACTCTCTGGTAAACCTCTTTGTGGGCCGTTTTGGGGCGGTTCGGGGGGGGCGTTTGCTTCGTCGCGGAAGCACGAAAATCGCATGTGCTGCAAACGTTCGTTTTCCTCACGGCAACGAAACGAATTAGAATTCATGGGGCCCTCTTTGGGCGTTTTGGGTGGCCCTTGGTTCTTCTTGAGGCCATCTTGGAGATTGTTTTTTTATTCTGGCCGATAACGCTCGTTACCCGGGGGGGGGGGGGGGCGGTCGTGCCCCCCGGGTAACGGTAACGCTTGGGCTGGGCGGGGTATGGCGAGGCAGGGGCGCTCTGCGATCGCCATAGTATGCGCGCGAGCAGCACTCTCTGCCTGAGAGCACCACAGTGGCTTGCGATTCGAGTACAAGCGCAAAGCCCGCCGCGTGGTCCCGGCACCACGCCCGCGCCCGCGCGCGCGACGACGATGATCGACGAGCGACGAGCGACGAGGTCGACGACGACGACGACGACGTTTGCCGCCTGTTTCGGCCTCCGGAGGCCGTTTTCGGGCGCCGTCGACGACGACGACGACGACGACGACGACGACGACGACGACGACGTTTTTCGCCTTTTCGGACTCCGGAGGCCGTTTTTCGGGCGCCGTCGACGACGACGACGACGACGACGACGATGAAAACGACGACGACGACGACGACGACGACGACGACGACGATGACGACGACGACGACGACGACGACGACGACGTCGGCGACGGCGACGGCGAGCGCATGCGAGCGCCGCAATGGCCTGCGAGCGCCCACAATGCGCCTGCGACCACCACACCACAGTGCGCATGCCTTCGGGCACCAGCATGTTGGAGGGGAAGACCGAGACCCCCCCCGCGTACGAGCGGTACCGTTACGGGGGGGGGGGGGGGGGAGAGGCCCGGGTAACGAGCGTTACCCCCCAGAGGATAAAAAAACAATCTCTTGGCGCGTCTCGGAACGCTTGCGGGGGGTCTGGGGGGGTCTCGGGCTGGTCCTGGCGGCTTCTGGAGCCGTCCCAAAATCCTCAGGGCCCCCGCTAGGGAGCCCTTGGGCCGCCCGGGGCCCCCATGCCACGACGTGGCCGTGGTTCTGGGCCCGCCCCTGGACGACGGCGCCGACGACGACGACGACGACGACGGCGGCGACGACGACGGCGACGACCACAGCGGCGGCGGCGGCGGCGGCGGCGCTGACGACCCCAGAAATCGAAATCGGCTCGGTATGGGTCCCCAGACCTCTTCGGGGGTCTGTCCGGCGGCGGTGTTCGCCCCGTGGAATCAGTTTTGAAGCCTCTAGGGAGGCTCTTGGGACCAGTTGTTGGTCCTGTTGGGGACGTCGTGGGAGCCTCTTGGGTTCTCTCGGGGGCCTCGTGGAGGCTTCAAGGGGCCTCTTGGGGGGGAAAGCTCAGATTGTCCGTCAGTTTGCCTCTCTGGGCCCCCGCTTTGGGCCGTCGTGGAACCCTTTGGAACGCCTCTCGAGCTGCGTTGGAGCCGCCTTGGGCTGTCCTCGGGCCCTCTGGGGGACTTCTTGGGCGCCTCGCGGGCCCTTTTCGGTGTTCGTGGTTTTTCCCTGGGCCGTCTGAAATATTTGGAGTCTGACAAGGCGAGAACTGCGGAGTCTCACAAGGCGAGAAAACGGGACGGAAATCTATGAGTTGTGCCAATTGGGGCGCTCTCGGGTGGCCTCTGGAAGCCCTCCGCTCCATGGCGTCAGGAAGCCGTCTTGGGGAGTCTTGGGGCCTCCCAGCGATGGCTCGCGGTGTGTGGCGGAAGTTACACGGATGCGTGGGGAAAGCGTATATTGAAGCTCTTTTTCCTCCAACGCAGCTCGGACAAAAGGGCCTGCGGGCATGCCACGAATTGACGGCGTCCAAATCACTCAAGATCCCGAGCACGCCGCCTGGCCGAGCGGGGGCGGGCGGTGAACCCGCTCCTCCTCGGGCGCCCCTCGGGTCACCACTCCCTCCAGGGTCCTAGAAAGCGAAACTTAAAGCCCGCAGTGCCTCGACGCGTAGTCGCGGAGGTCTAGACTCGCGCCCATGGCGCATCTAAACAGCGCGCGGCTCAAGGCCCTACTCGGACCACACCCCCTGTTTTCTCGGCCCCAGAGGCTGGAAACGGGGGCTCGTCGTCCACCAAATATACTTGACCTGGCTCTGGGTGGCCACCGTCCTTCTGCGGTCGCCCTTCCTAGTCTCGAGCTTCACTGCTGCTTCGCTCGGCCCCTCGATCGGAGCGCGCCGTGGCCTCCCGCCGTCGTCGCCGCGCGGCAGGACACCCGCGCGGCACCAACTCGGCCTCGCACACGGACAAAACCAGCAAGTCAAGGAAGACCCGGGCGAAGCAATCAGGAGCCCTAGGCTCACGCCCGCCATCAGCACAGTCAGGCTTCCGTAGTAGCCCTCAGTCGTGACTCCTGGCATGGCCGCTGGAGTCAGCGCACTCTCGCCCCCCCTGCGACGCCTCGCACAGCTCGGTCGAGCTTCCCTGCGCCGTGGGGAGCGACGCACCCACTGCAAACAACACCTTTTCAACAGGGTTGACTGGCCCTGGACGTCGGTCGGCATGGCCCCGACTCCAGCTACCCTCGAGGCCCCTGGCACGGGCACCTCCTTCAACCCGCGGCTCTCGCGGAGCCGCTCGGGGCGTGTCCTCGGAAACACCTTCGTGCCGGGATCCGCCGAGTTGTCGTCGCCAGCTGCGTGCTCGATGCTGATGACCTTCTTGGCCACCAGCTGCTGAATCCAAAACGTCTTGGTGGCAAGGTGCGCGATCCGCCCGGTGCCCTGACGCCTCGCCAGCGCTCTCGCACTCGAGCTGTCACCTCGCCAGCTCATGCGCACGCTGCAGCCCATGAGCGCGAAGAGCGCCTTCAGCCAAAGTCCCTCGCTGAGACCTCGAGCTCCAGCGTGCCACTCGGCTTTGCAGCTGATAAAGGGGCTGTGCATCTTGACGACAGCTGATCCCGAGCATTGGGCACCCGCGCGCGGTGGTGTGCACGCTGGTCTGGCTCTGCCGCTCCTTCGCGTCGCCTGCCCAGTCGGAGTCTGTCCACGCGACCTGGTCGACGATGTCCCGCGGCGCGGTGGTCTTGGCCATCCTCACGCCCACGTCCCTCGTGCCCTTTCAGGTACCTCGCCACCCTCTTGAGGGCTCGCATGTCCGCCTCACGGGGCGATGAGATGCACGAGGTCAGGTAATTCATGTCGTGCTGAGCATCTTCGCGGTCATGAAAGTAGAGCAGCTGGCGCGTGGTCACTCTCCTGAACAGCCTGGTCTGGGCTGAGGTCGGGCGCGTCGCCGGCGCCTGTCCTGCGCGCCTCCACCCCTGGGGTGTCGCACGGGTTGCCCTCCTCAAGGCCCGGCGCCCCCAGTGCCTTGGTGAGGTACTTCTCGTTGGGCTGAACGCAGGTAGCGCCAGCCTCTCGCACGCGCCGCCCCTTGAGAAACTCGCATACGGCACCGTCGCCCTGTGGGCCTGACCACTTCGCCTTGATATCTCGGCCCAGATCCAGCACGAAGCCGGACCCTGCGACTCCAGGCGCTGCGGCGTACATGTCGCCCATGTGCAGCTCCACCAGACATGGGGGCACGGCGTGCCAGAAGAACTGGGGCGCGGTCGGTGACCGCCCGAAGCCTCTGGCCATGAGCTGCCCCGCGGCGAAATCGACCCAGCACTTCCATCCAGCGCGCCGTCCTGGCAACTGCTTCGCGAGCTGCCAAACGCAGTCCTCAGCGTCGCCCCATCGCGCGGCACTCTTCCAGGACTTCGGGTGGGCACTCGACCCACGCGTCCTCCTCCTCGGGGACACGGTAGCACGCGTCCTCCGCGTCTACGGTGAAGGTGGGCCATCCGTGCTTCAGAGCCACATAGTCCAACACTCGGCTGTCGACCATGCTGCTCCCTGGCGTGAAAGAGGTCGTCGCGGCACTCCTGCCGCACTTGAAGTCTCGCGCGACGTACATTGACTTAGCGATCCCCCATCCGAGGTTCGCGCCCCGCTTGTAGACATGGCCCCGGCGGGCGCTGATCCTCTCGCCGGCGGCCTCGCTCCGTTTGACGAGCCGACGAGCTTGCCCACCCCATGCTGCTCCAGGCCGTCGAAGGCCCGTTTGGTGGAAGCCTCGACCAACTGCGAGTCCGACGCATCCTGGGGATCAGGGACATCCATATCTCTGAGGATCTGCAGGAAGTCAGGAAACACGTCAAAACAGTGCTCTGCCGCTACTCCGCTAACTCGGGACATCGCAAAAAGGCCTCGGTTGTCGCCCCCCTTCCGCGGGCCGCTTCGGCGATCGACCCATCGGGGGCGTCAGCGGGGGGGCGCTCGCTGGCGCTGCGGCCCTCGGCGCCATGAGGGCGTCGTCCCCGGCACGTCCCCAGCCGACGTCTGCGTCGCCGGCCCCGCCTGCCTGTCCCCAGCGGTCGCCTCGGCACCGCCTGGCGCGTCTGCCGAGGGCGCCGCCACGGGCGCCGCCATGGGCGCGCCCGTCTGGGCTGCTGGCCCGCCGCCATGGGCGGCCCCATTGGAGTGGGCAGCAGCGGTCGGGTCTGGCTGAGTCCCAGCTGCCTCTTGCGCCGCCAGGCGTGCGTCCGCAGCGGCAAGGGCGCGCAACGATAGGCTCGATCCCGCGCAGGGCCGTGTCCTGCCCTCGGCGCTGCCACGGCATGTGCGTAATCGCCGCCACGGCGGTGCCGTTGAACCTCCACTCTTCGGGCAGCCTCTTGACGGTCCTCGTCGTGACTAGCCCCCCCGTCTCCAATGCAGATGTGCTCGTCGGCGTCGTAACTCTTCCCTAGCCAGACTGCCCTCGCGAAGCCCATGTCGCCCTTGTGGTACACCTTTCCCCTCGCCCTGCGATTCCTGCCCCTGGGCAGGCGCGCCAGGGCGGACTCCTTTGGGG